CATAATAAAAATAGAACGGATAAACAGTTTTATCCAGGCCAAATAATTTACAAAAAAGTTATAGTAGAAAGAAATAAACTAAAAACTAGGTATAAAAAGCAACAAGTAAAGGAAAATCCAGGGAATAAAATAATAATTAATAATAGGAATAGAATTGTTCATAAAGATAACTTAAAATCATAATATTTTAGATTGCCATCATGCTACTTTTTTTTCTTGGATTAATAATCAGTTTAACAAAAGCTGACATCATTGATTACACTCGACAGGACTATCTTCTAATTGAAAACGGAGATGTTTCTGTTTACAGCAAGTACGGGGACATATTTCATATTACAAACTTAACATATTTTGAGAATATTATAGCCGATGAAAAACGAAATTTTTATAACAGTGTTCTTTACGACAAAAATAACAACGCTAAATTGGAATTTAATAATGCAGGGACGGAATCAGAAATTTTAGTAATAGAAACGTTGTTAGGACAATTAAAACAAAATACTTTTAGACAAAAAAGAGGCATAAATGAATTAGGAACACTTTGGAAATGGATAGCAGGAACTCCGGACCATGACGATTTCATCAAAATTAATGACAAATTAGACGAATTAATTTCAAACAATAACAAGCGGTTTACAACAAACTCAGAAATTTTTAAAATTATCACAGAACTGACTGATACAGTACAAAATATTAAAGGTGACACATTTGCTAGAAATATAAAGAAGAAACGAAATCAGTTTATTTTGCATGAACTTCAAAACATGATAAATACAATAACTTTTGGAAAAATGGGAATTTTAAACCCAACTATTTTACATTTTGACGAACTATCACTTATTATCAACATGGAACTATGACGGTTACGGATTTAATGGACATTTCAGAGTTTAAAATTATACAAAAGTATGACATAATTGTACTTTACATTTAATACCCAAAAATAGAATTAACTTGTAAGTTTTATGAAGTTGTGTCCTGGTCCGAGGAGGTTAAAAATAAAGCTCACCCCAATTTCGATGTGTATGCTGACATGAATTGTGCTATATTTCCTGTTCATTTTGTACAATTAAGACATAATAGTTTTTTAAATCATAAATAAATCAACTTACGCATTTGTACGCACCTACGCTCCCATCACCAGGACCAGAATTAATTTCCTTCTAGAAATTTTTGACGTTTTTTGTTTTCGTATGGTTAGTGATGGGATTACAACATTTCGATAAAATACAATGACATAAAGGTACAAACACACTGCTACAGCCGCATCAACCTAGGGGTACAAACACACTGCTACAGCCGTGCAGCTCTGACTTTCTCATCTTTGCCCGGAAATACTTCCATTATTCGCCCCATAAGCCACTTCGTTCGATGAACACCGCTATCGCATATGAGGACTACGTCGCCTACGGCCAAGGGCTTCACCGGCTGGTTCCATTTGGTCCTCCTGGTCAGGTCAGGAAGGTAATCATCTACCTAGCTCTTCCAGAATCGGTATTGCGTCTATTGGGCCTTACGCCATTGTTTGCGAGTGGCTTGGAACTTCTCTCCATTCGGATATGGCGTTTGCTCAGCATTTGGGGTACCCAAAAGAAAATGATTGGGAGTTAGCGGTTCATCAGTGGGTGCGTCTAGTGGGATGTGTGGGTCGGGAATTAACGATTTTCTCCGCCTCACACATGAAACTGTATAGGGCGTGTTATTGAAGACTTTCGTTATGTACTGCATGACCCATAGCTCTTTTGACGCAGCGTACCAAACGTTCCCAGCAGCCTCCAGCGTGTGGGTTCAACGGGCAATTGAAAACCTAGTCAATGTTTTTATTCGCAAGCGCATTTGATATTTTGCCATTATTAAACTCTATAAGCTACCGTTTAAGCTCCCTGTCAGCACTGACGAGGTTCGTACCGTTGTCCGAACGGATACGCACAGAAGTTCCACGTCTAAACATAAAGTTCCTGATACATAACAGGCAGGTGTCAGTGGAGAGGTCCTTCGCCATTTCCAAATGTATCGCTATCGTTGTTAGGCAAGTAAAGAGGGCGATCCAGCGCTTCTCGCTTCGCCTACCGATGACAACGTTGAACGGTCCCATGTAGTCTAAGCCGGTATAGGTGAAAGGCCTAACGAATGGTGTCAGCCGGTCTACTGGCAATTGGGCCATCTGGAACGGCTCTTGCATTGACGCAAAACTGACATATTTTAGTGGTGCGACGCACTTCGACCTTTATATTAGGGATCCAGTACTTACGTCGTATTTCGGCGATTATTGTGGATTCGTTTTGGTGTTTCCAAGAGCGATGGTAATGATCTATCAGCAACTCCGTTACGTAACATCGCTTAGCCAGGATTATCGGGCATCTCGTGCATGATGAAATCGCGGTGGCAGCGTCTATTCGACCACCCAGTCTTATGACGCCCTCCGCATCCATAACGGGACTGAGATTCCACAACGCGCTACCCTTCTCTACCCGATTGCCCATGCGCAGGTATTCATCCGCAAACTCTTCCATCTGTGTTGATCGTAAGACTACTGTTTCGGCTTTTTGCAACTCGAGCACCTTCAAGTCGTCATAAACGCGTGTCGCTTTCGTCTTGAGACAATTTTCCGAAATCGCAACATCCAGCTAACTACTCTTCTCAGTCGGTTGAAGGACGAAAATCTCTTAAAAAATGAAATATAAGTTTTAATTATTAATAACATGAATTTGTTGCGCAGCTCAACGTCTTTAGATTCACAAGATGCATTTGACGGCCAGTTGTTCTCATTTTGGTGAAAAATCTCAGACCTGTGATCCAGAATGACTCGCGCTTTCCATCTTTGGAACGCGTTCCGAAGTCAGCTGGGTTTAGTGCGCTGGGTATCCATCGCCATTCATTAATTTCACTGCCATCCAAAATTTCGTTTACCCGATGCGCTACGTAGGGTTTGTAACGCCGATGATCCGATTTAAACCAAGACAATACTGTTTTTCAGTCAGACCACATCGTAACTCTACTTGGAATCTTGTCGTGACTAGCAATAATACTATTTTTGAGCTCTGCTGATTGTAATTCGAGACGAGGAACAGATACCAGCTTAATTGGAGCGCACTTAGTTTTACCAGCGATGAAAACCAGTCGGATATTGCCGTGATCGTCTACAAGTCTCCAGTATGGAACAGTTACGTATGCTGACTCGCTCGCGTCCGCAAACACGTGTAGTTCGACAGGTCCCTTAGGAAATGTAGCTCCGTAGCAGCGTGGTATACTTATACTCTCCAGATCTCGTAACATTCGAAGCCACTTTTTCCACCTCACGTACACCGCGTCGGATATGCTGCAATCCCAATACATCCGCTCCCGCCGTATTTCTTGCAGGATTAACTTAGCTTCCAGGGAATATTCTGCTGCCATTCCAAACGGATCGAAGATGGACATCGTTGTACTGAGGACTTTTTGTTTTGTTGGCTTCCGCTTCTCCCTTAACACGTCCTGATTCACCTTCCCTAAGGATAGAACAAACTTGAAAACGTCTCTTACGGATTCCCAAAACATTCCGAGCACCTTCTGGAACAATTTATTATTTATTTATAAGTTGCGAGTTTGATACGAATCTTTTTAGTTCAAAACCTCCGCGCTTGTGAATGCGGACAACCTGACTGTTTACCGTAAAGACCTCATCCTCACTGGAGAAACAATGCACAAAATCATCTACGTAATAATTATTTACGATCGCCGCTACAGCCTCTGGAAACTGTTCTTTAAAGTCTTCTGCGTTTTTATTCTTGACGAACTGCGCTGAACAGGGCGAACAAGTAGCTCCGAATACCATCACATTCATCACCTATTCTTCGATTGGCGCTCCGGGATCGAATCTCCATAAAAAGCGTTGCGATGCCAAATCTTCGTGTCGAATCTTCACTTGGTGGAACATTTCCAAAATATCAGCGCACACTCCAACCGGTTTCTGTCTAAACTTCATCAGGACGCTTGCCATAGCCTGTGATAAGTCTGGCCCACTGAGTAACATGGAGTTGAGTGAAGTGCCTCGTGACTCCGCCGCCGCATTAAAAACTAGCCAAAGTTTCCCTGGTTTATTAGGGTTAAACATACCAAAGTGAGGTAGGTACCAAGTCCGCTTCCTTATTGTAGCGGGTTCCTCCTTACTCAGCATCCGACAATAGCCCTTTGCAAGATATTCAGAAATGACCCTAGCATATGCTTTCTTCAGGTTGTCGTTCTTCTTGAACTTCCTTTCTAATGCAAAAAATCGATTTTTCGGCCATCTTTTGGCACTGCGGCAACTCCACGTCGTCTCGCTTCCACAGCAAACCCGTTTTGAATCGACTCCCGTCGCGCTTAGTGTTTTCTTCCAATAGTTTCTTCGCTCTTAACAAGTCCTTAGCTTCGACCTGCTTCGCCGTACTTACGCCCATGTTCTCATTAGTTATGAAATCGTTCTCGAGATTTTCCATGTTGTCGGTCATAATCTCCGTCTCGCCGACTTGTGCAAACAATGTGTGATACAGCGAATAAGGAGCTAGGGGGCCCGCCGTCCCATAAATAACCCATCCAAGCTTTGTCACCACTACTACATGTCCTCTTCTACCGTCGTATGCTGTTTGCTTCGGAATGCCAAGATGTGCGTTGTTTAAACCTATCAATAGTTCTGGTACAGCATCGTTATATTGTATGATCGGTAAGTGTTGATATTTACAATAAAGATCTGCCAGGCTAAGCGACTGCATTGACAACTGAAGATTTTCAACCGTGCGAACATCACGCATCAGAAATTTTCTGCTGTTACGCCCAACGCCGGAGATGTGAACGTCTACTCTACAGAAACGCTCCGTAACGGTCGTGCTGCCAAACCACTGCTGTCAAGTTATCACTGCTTCCCTGCAGTCCAAGGCGGGTTGCCAGATCGCGGTTCATTAAGGATATGGCTGACCCATTGTCCAGAAGGCCGCGTAGCTATTGAATTTTCTACCATGCGCGTACAACAGTGGTATTATATCTTAAATAAAACTTGCAAAAACTTGCTGTACTGCTTCTTGCGCTGCCCGTTTCTGCTGAACTGCCTGTTCTGATGTCGATGTCACCGTTTGCTGTATCGCGTACCGCGAAGTCGGCTGCGACGCTTGCTGCAGTGGCGCTGACAGCCACTGTTGTGCTCTGCCACAGGACTCGTGAAGAAGTACATGCCACCTTTTTGTACAGTGCCTGTCACCCCGCTCATGTTCTTCACCACAGTTGTTGCTGCGATGACTTCCCTTTAGACAATTAAAACAGAGCTTTTTGCGACGAACTAGGCGCCATCTATCCCCGTGCTCCATGTTCAGGAATCTTCTGCACTTAGTAATCGTGTGGCTATCTGCGCATGCCTCACACCTAATTCGCCCAGAATTTTCACCACTAGCCTCGTTGGCGTGGAAAAATCTTGAACGTCCTTCGGGTCTATTTTGTCGCGGTTCTAAGCTAGAGTATACGCAGGCCGAGTTCACAATCGATGACAACTCCTGTAACCAATCACTAAAATGGCAGATTGTTGGCCGCGGAACAATTGACAAAGCGTAACGTGCCCATTCGATGCGTCTCTGTATGGGCAGCTTCAACAGCAGTTCTTCCATCAGCGTCGGATTAGACAAGTGGTGGTCGCAATCAGCTGCCTGCTGAAACGAAGACAGATTTTGCACCTTAGTCGCAAATCCCACAAGCTGTTCGATGCGACTTTCTAAGATCGGCGCCACATTTCTTATTTTATTTATCTGACTCTTTACCAGCAGTTCCGGCTTCCGAAAACGGTCCTGCAAAACCTTCATAATTTGCGACACGTTCTTACTATGGATTAACATACACTCGATACTTTCCCTAGCTTTTTCTTTAACTGCCTTTTGTAAACGAATCATATTCTGTGTATCAGTATATAGGTACTGTGCAGTGGTCATTAAAAAAGTTTCCTAAACATGGGCCAGTAATCTGGACGCCCTTCAAACTCTGGCAAATCATATAGCTTGCGTGTTAATCCTAGTTGTGAACTACTTTGCGAATGACCTACTACGCTGGATGCTGTTGTAATAATTCCATTGTCATTAGCCGCATTCGCCTGTAACAGCCTACTTTGCCGAAGCTCTTCTTGAATGTTTTGAACTTGCCGCAAAATCTCAGTTAGCCGAATTTCGCTGTAGGCTGCTGAAGAATCGTTTCTTCAAACTCTTCGTTATTGCTATCTCCTTCATTCACCCTAGCCTCTTTATTTGCCCCGGAACGTGTTGTCGGCATGATAAAAAATGGTCGCCACGAATATTCGAAAAAATTTTTAGCCGCACTTTTTACAATTTTGGCGAGATTTCCCTAGGTTATGTTCTTTACCACACTACGATGCACACCACTAACTATTAACTCTCACCCAATCAGTTCATTAAGACACTTACCAAATGAGCTTCCTTGTTTGCTCACAGCGACACCTCGACCTGCAGCTTACTTGCTTTATGGCACGTGCTCCGATCAATTTCATCCGATCCTGAAGGTATTTAGCGCATGTACATACAAACGGTGCGCTCTCAAATCGCTTACTTGTTACTAGTCACAGCTTTCAGGCATTACTCACACTAGATATTAAAATATTAAAACTTGTAATACGGCAAAACTCTGGTTATTCGCTAACCCATAAAAGCCAAATAAAGAGTGTGAATTGTGTCCTGGCCCGAGGAGGTTAAAAATAAAGCTCACGCCAATTTCGATGTGTATGCTGACATGAATTGTGCTTTATTTCCTGTTCATTTTGTACAATAAAGATATAATATTTTTTTAAATCATAAATAAATCAACTTACGCTTTTGTGCGCACCTACGCTCCCATCACCAGGAACAGAATTAATTTCCTTCTAGAACTTTTTGACGTTTTTTGTTTTCGTATGGTTAGTGATGGGATTACAACATTTCGATAAAACGCAATAACAAAAAGGTACAAACATACCGCTACAGCCGCATCAACAAGGGCTGTAGCTCAACTATATGGTAAACTTCTAATTGACAGAAATGTAACAAATTGTAAAAGCAAATTTTATAATGTTTATAATTGTAAAACTGAATAAACAAACACATATTGTAAACTAGTAAAAGAAAAATCATGTTTGTCCGAAATTTTAAATAAAAATCAAGGAAAATGTAAAAAAATTAAGGAACGGAACAATAAAATTGAAATAATAAAACAAGGGGCAATACTAATTTCAGGAAAAAATAATGTCGAAAACCGAACACTAGAAGGAACATATTTAATTACCATGGTGGAATAATACAAGGTGTTGGATATTGACAGCGTTCTCGCTCTAATCTGCCATCTTGGCTCCCTTAGCAAAATCGGTGTTTCCCTCTTGAAAAACCTACATTTTACCGCCTTTAAAAAAACTAAACTACCTCATTCCCTATTCCAAAACTGATTTGCAATCACTGAACAATTCTTTGACATATACTTTATTCTTCTTCGTTGACAAAATTAAATTAAAAATTAAAATCATTAATTCGACAAAAAACATTGGCTTTGTGTATTCTCCAAAGGCCTAAAATCAGCCAAATACCCTATGTGGGTCGGCTTAATCAGTAAAACGTGACAGTAGTTGACTTTTGAGGTTAATATATCGGTCTTGAGCTGGTACGGCTTTTAAAACATCCGCAGCTTCCTTTAAAGCATCGCTGCTAATTGCTGAGAGGACCCGATTATATTTCCGGACATAAGATGTGGTCTTGTACGACTGAAAGGTGGCCTCAATTTGTAGAAACCATTTGTTTGGCATCTCAGTTCAGAACGGTCGCAGCTTGCATTGCGATACAAGCTCCACATCTTTAGTTGGCATTTTGTTCGATGAAATATTTTCCCCATCCGTCGATGCGCCCTTTTGTCGACTCCGTCAAGTTGTAACGACTCGGGGTCACCACTAATTTTTTGATGGCGAAATTTTTGTAAGTTACATCAATCATCTTATAGTATTTTCGGGTAAAAATTAGACCCCAAAGCGGTTTTGGAAGTTTGACTATAATTATAGGACATTGTGTTTAATAAACTAAATTACCATTTATTGCATAAGTGCTACGTAATATATACTACTTTCGCAAATTTAGCTTATCATAATATACCGTTTGTTACTATTTATATGCAAAATTTGATATGAAAGAGTACCAAATTTCGTACTACTTCGCAAAGTGTGCTTCTTTTCTTCCCGTTTCTCTCGTTCTTCCATATTACAACCTTTTGTAAGGGAGCCGTCGACATGAGCTGTCACTACGTACAACACCTTGTATAATTCCACCATGTTTAATTACATCTGAAAATCAAACTGACGAATCACATACGAAAACACTGAGTCTAAAATTTGGAGCTCTTTGAAAGATAACTATGTAAATAACTTTGAAATATTGGAATATATAGAATCGAGTAACAAGCTGTTAAAACTAGAAAACATAAATATTTTAGGTGAAGAAAATAAAAGCCCTAAAACCAATTCATTCACTTGGTATATTATTATTACTTTATGCATAATTTTTGCCATTTATCTTTGAACAAAATCGCAAAAACCACATAAATATACGAAAGAAAATGAAAATTTAGAACTCCAAGAAAGTGAATATAAAAATATAGTTATTTCGAATAAAAACACTAACAGAAAATACAGCAGAATCGGTGATGACTCATCTTAGGGAGGGGGGAGTTAACAGCAGACCACACATAACGGTTTAAATACATATTGTAAACAATAAAGTTCAAATACAGAAAGCATATTCCCATACTCAGTTTTAATTAAAATCATAACGCAACAACCTCTGTAATTTAATATCACATATTGAACTAAAATAACAAATGGCCAAAATGCTAACAGCAGCATTTTTTCATTCTTAATTAAATTCTTTGCGATCGAAGATCAAACCAAAAGACCACACAGCGGCATTGTAGCCAATGTAAACATAACCGCATCCCAATAGCCCAGAACGCATAACGTGCAACAATGTCTTTTCCGTTCCTTCTGTAAACTTTTGATTAAGAAAACAATATCGCATTTCTCATGCATTGGCATTTCATCCATCCCCTGGCTGATGCAAAGATAAAGCGTCATTGTGAAATTAGTACTTAAGAAAACAAATGTTCGCTTATAAATAAGAGTCAATTGAAATAAAGACTTCACTTCTGATAATTGTCCGGGAGATGCGGATTAAGAAAAGCATCGTTTTTATTTTTTAAAAACGCTTTCCTCGGAAAGGAAAGCTTAAGTTGTACATGTACTGAGCACCACCTCTGAAGGAAAGATTCGTCCAATTGCTGGAAAAGATAGTCGTGGGTATAGTAGTTTTGTATCTAGACCAAAGATAGTCCAAAAAATTAAAGAAATGTAATGTAAAACGGGTGAATTGTACTAAAAGTGGCCCGAATGTACTGCATAAGGTATGAGTTTTGTTCTAAAATTGGTTACAATGTCACGCAGTAGCGGACAATGGGTATGATTAACGATTTACTGATATGTAGGCACCTAGTCAACGAATTTTCATATGCGGCGTTGGCATATAGAGAGTATCCGCTTAGAAAATCTGAAAACCCCGAGCCGAATCGCAGCTGGCGCAAGTTTTATTTTTGTAACGTCTTTTTTTATTTTGAAAAAAAAAGTTTTCTTAGAGGTCGCTCTGGTCGGTTTTTTATAAAAACGCTGATGTTCTCAATTTTTTTATTTTCTTGACATGTTAAAATGCAGCTAAAAATGTAGTTTTTACATATTATGGTATTATTGGGGAACTTTCCCTTAATTACATACTTGTTTTGGACAATTAGAATGGGTCTAGTTCCCGAACTTTGTTCTAATGACCCTGCAGTCCAATGTACCAGTTGTAAACTACCTTACAACTAGTATGAACCACATGTCCAACTAGTCAGCCAACTATCTTTTTTCCATGTAATCAACTGGTATTTTTAACATGGGGATGTCCTACGAGATGGCAATTGTCAGATTTCCATCAGAAATATACCAGTCTCGTGCTAGTTCAAAATAAACAGACAAATACTAGTCCAATTATGGAACGAAACCACTACTTTGAGAGTCAAAAAATAAAATGAATTCATGAATATGCAATAAAAAACGTTGAGTACACTTTAATATATTACATATTTTTATTTAGCAGCCTTAGATTTGCCAATAATTAGTGTTAAATTTTTTTGAGTATTAATTAAAAGGAAAAATAAATACGTAAATATTTCAAACTTTCGAACACAAATCTAAGTGCATTCTTCATTAAATGTTATTTGAAGTAAAAGCTTTAAGGTACA